CTGTGGTAATCATTTCACAGTGTATACATATATTAACTTCATGTTACACACCATAAAAATCATATTGCACAACCTAAATATATATATACATTTTTACTTGTCGATCATATTTCAATAAAGCTGAAAAAAATTTAATAAAGTATTTGGATTACGAGCAATAAAAATTTACTTAAAAAAAGAGCAGTATTTATGCATGTGTACAGACACAAACACACACAACTCTCCACTCACACACACTCACACCACAAACCATACTATGTGTACATTAAATTCAAATGGAAATATGTTATGGTTTTTTAATAAGATCACAGAAGTTTAGAGCTGGAAAACTCTGTACAATACTGTTTAGTAAGAATTCCCTTTCTATGAATGAGTAAACTGAGGTAAAAGTGATGAAATAATATTCCAAAGCCACTGTTAGTATTTAATTAGGAAGAATTAAAAACAGTCTTCCTTATTCATCAGAGGACCCAGATAGTGACAATGACATAATATGAATTTTTACCTATTTTCAGACAGAAGCTAATGGACTAGCAATATGGTCTGAAAATACAGGCCTTACACGACTGGAAGATAAAGCTCTCCTACATGGGGTTGTATGTTATGGGACACTTTATGGACTTGAGGGATAATCAAAGCAGGGCATATCTATGTCTATCACATAGACATAGATATGAATTTTCCTTACGAATTCATAAAAGGACTAGAAATAACAAATGGAAGCCTTTATTCTCTTTTTGGAAGCGGCCTTTTGGGGAACAGGAGATAAGAGGGCATGGAGGCATTCAAGTAGTGCAGTAATGTGTGCAAAAACTATGCATCTCATTGATTCCCTCGGGAGCTGGATATGTACCTAACAATTTTTATGCTTGTCAGCAGAAAAGGTTGCTTTTAGTCTCAGTTGCAAGTGGATTACATTGGCCTATTACCCTTCCTTCTGGGTAAATAACAATGAGTCTTGACTAAGAGAGACACACATTTTCTTCTTGTTTGTTCTTGGATTTGCATACCTGGCAAATGATGCAAATACCTCAACCACTACTTGAGGCCTACAGCAAGAGGAATTTGGATGTTGGTCATCTAATTAAGGAAGTCAAAGTGAAATCCAACAAGTTACAGACCATTGGACATCATCTACATCCTCATCCACAAAATGTGGACTAATGAAAACTGAAATGGATAATTTAAACCCTGCTTTTACAAAACTGGAGCGTGATAGAAGGCTAAAAAGATGGTTTTCAAGGCTGAATCAATGTGTGTTAAAACATGATATATGTGGACTTACAGGAAGACCACTATTGGCCATATTGTTGAGATGTGTTGGGGGGAAAATTGTGGGAATGATACAGGCGCTTTATAGAAACTTCTATATTTCTAAAAATTTTCTTTTTCTTTGCCTGATCCTGTTTTAATGGGACGTGGATCAGTTGCTGAACATGATACCATGACAACACATCTAGGTACTACTGCCCACACTGCTAAAATAATACAGATCATTCTTTATTTACCCTTTTAAAAATGGGATTAATAGGTTCTGTTTCTCTCTTACCTGGTTAATGAGGCAAGCCAATATGCTTGTATTTATCCAACCCTGTTCTATATAATACACAAGATAAAGGGGGAAATCATTGACCATACTTAAATTGCTGCTAGCTTTATGGATCAGTCCTCTTGCTGAAGCTAACAGTTCTACCCCAAAGAGGATAATCTGGGTAAAAATTAATGAAAGGTGGAAAGAAGGGAAAGTGATTGCTGATATAAAGTGAGCCTATGGGAAGCTCTTTGGCATGCTATAGCTAACGTATATTTGGAGATTACTACTATCTATATGATAGCATCCTGGAGAAATAAAACATTTTGGGTTCAAAATATGTACTCAAACTCAATAAGCAGTTAATGGCAATATGTTGGGTATATAAACCAACATTGACTGAAATATTCTAAGAGACAGTTCCTCAAAATTGGCCTAGCAGGTACGACTGAAGTTTCAGAACTCTCCTTTTTGGCCTGAAATTCCTTCCTCCTGCAGGACCATAGCCTATACTGTTATAGGAAGCATTAGCCTTACATGAGTGTACACTGAATCCTCGTGTGTTCTGTAAAATGTCCAACCCTGGGTAAGTGCTGCAGTGTTTAATTTTAAAAACTGGGCTCCCTTGAAATTTAGAAAGTCAGGTAGTATACAGCCTGTATTATCTCATGGCAACAATCCACTGGATCGAGAAATAATGTATTTTACATGGCTCATGCGTCCTTTTAGTGGCTTACAGTCATCACCAGCACTGTCCTATTGCTAAACTGGAGACAGCATCATTTATCTTATAGTTTATGCGCTCCAGGAGGTGCATTCCTGTAGACTACCATGTGAATAGTGGAACTTGGATTTTTGCCACTTAGTGTATGTCTACACATTACACATATATATCTATAAATATATACTAGATATATAGATATTTATAGATAGACAGATAAACTGATGTAATTATGCCTAGGATTTGTTTCAAAATAATCTGGATGAGGGCTTCCCTCGTGGCGCAGGGGTTGAGAGTCCGCCTGCCGAGGCAGGGGACACGGGTTCATGCCCGGTCCGGGAGGATCCTACGTGCCGCGGAGCGGCTAGGCCCGTGAGCCATGGCCGCTGAGCCTGCGCGTCCGGGGCCTGTGCTCCGCAACGGGAGAGGCCATGGCAGTGAGAGGCCCGCGTACAGCAAAAAAATAAAAAAAATAAAAAATAAAAACCCTTTAACCTCAAGGGTTCATAGCATATTAAGTGATAAATCAAAATACAAACATGTTGAATGTATGACTCCTAGTTACTAGAAGAAATATTTTAAATGGTAGCTTTAGGAGATGACCATAGTGATAATTTTTAAATACTTTTTGATATTTTAATTAAAAATTTATTTATTAATAAGAAAATAATACACCTAATAATCTATTGGAGATTTCCTGATTTTTTCAGGGAAAGACATTTATTATCACATCTGTCAATTTTCTGATCATTGATTAACATGATTACGCTTGTTTATATCAAAGCCCTATAGCATCCACTTTTATATACCTATGGAATATTTTAGCAGGTGAAGAGTTCAACTTAATATAAGCCTGCATATTAGATGTTGACACTCTTGGTATTTTTTGCGGGAAAAAATTAAAAATTAAGGTGCTAAGGAGTTGGTTAAAACAATACAAATAATATTTTTATATGCCTAAAACATTGTCATAGAACAAAAGTTAAAGAGAACTAAGTATGCATCAGATACAAATGCAGGGCCTCTACTGAGAGGGTAGAGGAGAAGCACTAGAAGTTCAAAAGCTGTCAGCCACAGGGTCGGGTACATGCCTTTCTGAACCAAAAACAACACCAATGTGATCCAACCCAGAGGAGAGAACAGCATCTGGAGGGTTTTTGCAGTGACAGCACTCATTCTGGTGGGACAGTGGCAGAAGAGCAGAATTTAGTGACCAGATCATCTAGGCAGAAACCTGGGTCAACCTGAAGGAAGTAGACTGGCAAAGAATGAAGCCTCTGAGTAGGAGATATGGGGTCGTGTGACTCTAAAACTGGGTAGGAAAATGAAGTCAAAACCCAGCTATCATAATAAGCTAGGAGACCATGGGGAAGCTGGATGGTGTGGCCCAAAGACACCCTATGCTAGGCACTGGCCTTCTAGACGAGGACTCTACAGAAAAAGAAAAAAAAAATAGATTTACTAAGGAGTTTCAACTCATTAGAGAATGACAAGAACAGATTTAATTTCCCCAGTCATGGATTTTATCACTCCTTCTGAGCCTGTAAGAACATCTCAAGCAGATTTGAAATGCTTTTGCTTATTTTTCGGTTTAGAATACCCACCTTCCTTCCTCCTCTACACTAGCTCCTCTTCTGGTCTGCAGCCTCAAGAGCTCAGCAGGCCTCCACTCATCAAGCCACTCAAGCCAGAAGCCAGACTCTCTTTCTTTGCAAGCACCCGAAACCTTAAGAGCTCTTTTGCAGCACCATCTCACTTGGCTTGGATTAGAACAAAAAACGTTCCCATTCTTCCCCAGGGACTGTAGTGCAACACCTCCCACCAAGCACTGTACACTCCACGTAAGGCAGAACACTCCCTTGATTATTTCTTCCCCTGGCCCGAACTTCTCTTTATGTAGATATGGGGGGAGGGGCAAGGAGGGTGTGACTTATATTAACAGAGTGACCTTTAGGGGGAGATATCTAGCTCTCATAAATATTAGCTTGGGGTAAGAGAGGTACTCAGTAGTAACTTTTAGTCCTCAATTTGGAGCCAGCTTTAATTCTGAAATTTTAGGACACTATGAAGTTGGTGCTATGCTAGGTGCTTTCTCCAACTTATTGAAATTATAATGACACTGGTACCTGGTTTTATCTCTTTCTTTATTACAAGTCTATGATTTACAAAGAATAGACTATCCAATGTCATTTAGGTAGTTTGTGGAATTGAAGATTTTGTACTCTTGCCACTCTATCTCCAAAGTTATGTGTAACTGTTTTCTACTACATTTCTGTACAATACACCAGAAACACTCATTTCAGATACCACCTGGGATGAGACTTTAATGAAATTCATTGTACTTGTGAGATCTGAAAACACTGGAAGCTGAGTTTATAGCAAACTACAGTTCTCAGTAATTCTAGCTGAGTAAGGTTAGTGAATGGAAAAATAAAAATATCTCTGCTTAACCATGGTTTCCTCAAAGCTTCTTACTGATTTAGCTATAAGTCCATCTTTGTGCCTATTACACAAAGATCTGCATTTCTGAAATACTTATTGGATAGGTTTTCGGTTTAGCAAGTATTTTACAGCTGCTTTTAGATCCTTATTCCTCAAGCTATAGATCATAGGATTTAGCATAGGTGTCACTACACCGTAAAACAGGGAAATGAGCTTGTCAGAAGTTTGCAACTTGTTTTCTCCAGGCAGTTCTTGAGACGTGGGTTTGGCATACATAAAGAAGAGGGTATCATAAAATATAATTACCACAGTCAGATATGCTGAACAGGTGGAAAAAGCCTTGCATCTTCCTGTGGCTGAGTTCATTCTCAAGATGGTGTAGAGGCTGAACATGTAGGAGAAAAAAATGATCAGCAATGGAAGAATTAGAAATGCCATATCTGATATTGTCATGGTGATAATACTGAGGGATATATCAGCACAAGCAAGCTTGAGAACAGCTAATATTTCACATGGGAAATGATTGATAACATTATTCTCACAGAAAGGCAATCACATGGCAAGAGATGTTTGCACAACTGAGTCGATTCCACCGGACAGCCATGACACAGAAGCCATCAGTACATACACCACCTTGCTCATGATGACGGGGTATCTCAGAGGGTTACAGACGGCCACGTAGCAGTCAAAAGCCATCATGCCAAGAAGCAACATTCTGTTGACACCATTGCAAATCCTAAGAACATTTGCACTGCACATCCAGAGAAGGAAATGTTCCTTTTTTTGAGATTAAGCTCATCCAGAAAAGAGAGGTTTCCCAGGAAGAAGTACATTGGGGTGTGAAGATGGGAATCAAAGATGCTTGCTATTATCAGAACACCGTTGCCAATTAGAATCACTAGATACATAATTAGAATTAGAACAAAGTCAACTATCTCAATCTTTGGGTATCCAGAAAGACCCAGAAGAAGAAATTCTAGCACAAATGTCTGGTTAATTTTATCCATGTCATCCACTTTCAGTATGTCAAAGGAAGATCTAATATAAAATATATTCACTGCCAAGAAACAAATGTTACATGTTACATATTACCTGAACAATTGATTTTTTAAGAATGAATTATAAGGAGTGTTGGCTTGAAACTCTGACATCCAGCTATCTTCAACAATGTGTAGGACTAGAATACAATAAAACTGGGAAGGATGGAAGCACCTATGCCCATTGCCAATATGTGAAGATCTACCTATGATCAAACAAACATACAGAAGTAACCTTTCTTGCTGTTGAAGCCTTGTTCCTTGGTTGAGGTTTCTAAAACTCCTGACTAATTAGCAACTATAAGCCGGACTTCATCTGCCCCAGAAAGTAAGCAGTGGAGATGGCAAGAGACTACTCAACAAGGACTGGAAATATGACTCTGCAATTCATTATGGTCAAAACTTCACAGCAACTTTGATGTTTTTGGTGCATATTTCTTTCTACGCCTGACACTGCATACTTTATATTAGGTACTTTAATTTTTTAATAGACATTAATAATAATAAATTGAATAGCATAAACTGAAATTTAACATCTGTTTAAATGTAGATAGTTGTTGATCTCATTCCAGCTCCTCTTAGTATCTTGTGTGACTGTTCCTGTGACAAGACCATTGCATAGATCAGATCCACATGAATGCCACACACAGTCTTTGGAGAGTATTACATAGTCTCTTAACTTACTTTCTTTCTGTGGCTTCAGCATATATCTTCATAATTTACTCACTTAAGTCAATCTAAGAAAACAGCAAGAAGGTTTAAGTATTTTATATAAATAGGTATACACATGTGTATATGTACTACTACTTTATGCTTAACAAAATACAATCATTGTTTATATTACTCCCATTTTTTCAAACATTAAAACATGAAAATTTTCCAAGGTTAACCTCATAGTAAACAGTGAAGTAGAGCTCAAAGCTCAGATCAAGTGTAGTTCACAGCATCACTAATTTTTATATACACATGAATCACCTGGGTATCTTGAAAAGCTTTAGATTCTGTTTTGGTTTGGGGGCAGCTCCTGAGAGTCTTCATTTCTCGTAACAGCCCAGGGTTACACTTATGCAACAGGTCTTGAAAGCACTTGAGTAGCAAGTTTTTAGTCTACACTGAGCTGGCAGATTATCCAGATATTTCTGATACAAATGGATTTTCTTTTGCCTTATCATGTGGATTGGCATACCAAACTGGAAAATGACAAGAACATATTCCTTTTGTGTTTTAGAGAAAATTCAATATTCATATACTCTTAAGAAAAAAATACTATTGAAAGAGTTAAATAGTCTTAAGGAAAAAATATTATTGGAAGCATTTTTTAAAGCAGGTTAAATGTGTGCCAGACTACTACAATAGCTTTTGAATATTACTGACAGCCTATCTTGAACCCAGTCATATTCCAAGCACAGTAAGGATAAATAAAAGAATAAAGTGCCTCCCACTACAGAGCTCACAATTCAGTTAGGGATATAGGAAAAGTATATATAAAATATATTATGAATATAATGACATTATGTAGCTTGAGAGAAATTTACAGATTTTCCCATAAGGAAAAAGTTTATGAGAAATAGCTCACGCCAGGGAGAATTCAGGAAGAGTTTCAGAAATGGGCTGGATCTGGAAGCAGGGAAAGAATTAGACAAGTTTGGAAGCAAAGAAGGGGAGTATTCAAAAAGTGAGAAGGTGAGCAAAAGTTAGGAGTAAATGGATTGGCAGCACATCCTTTTTGGACAAGAGTTTCCGTGGTGGAGTGGTGGCAAGCACATCTCAGAAGGAAAGCATGGCAGGTGCACCGAGAGGCTCTGAAGTCAGAGAATTTGGCATATCTCTTTCTTTTTTTTTTAATAGATCTTTATTGGAATATAATTGCTTCACAATACTGTGTTAGTTTCTGTTGTACAACAAAGCGAATCAGCCATATGAATACGCCATGTCCCCATATCCCCTCCCTCTGGAGCCTCCCTCCCATCCTCCATATCCCACTCCTCTAGGTCATCGCAAAGCAACGAGCTGATCTCTCTGTGCTATGTTGGCAGGTCTTTTGGTGGGGAAGGAGTCTATCATTAGAAAGCACAGAACGTGGGTTGAACGCTTGGATCCTGTGATGTTAGTACCCGCCAAATTTGACATCACACTATAGGATTTTATGAGATTTTTAGCAGAAACATAATACAAGGAATTAAGATATTTAGATTAATGGGTTTGTCACATTACTGATTGTATGTGAAAACTGACCTTTCCATAATCACCACCACATTTGACATTGGTCAAAATCACAAGTTTAGCCCTCACGTGGGCTAATAGTGTTAAGAATTTCATTACAGCCAATTTTCCCCCACTCTGCCACTTAGTTTGCCATGTGATAGAAGTTGGGGAAATTACTGTAGAGCAGATATTACTTAGAGTCTGAAGTCCAACTCAAAAGAGGGATTCGCACTACAGGAATAATTTAATTAAGAATACACAAGAGAAATATCACAACTTTGAAGAGAAAGACAATAAGGGAATATAAAATCACAATTTTGGAGATGAAAACTTTAGCCCAAATGAGATTGTAAATTTTCATTTATTCATCTTAAGACCAGAACTTTCTTTAAAGAAAAAAAGAGGGAGAAGAAATCTTCATTTTTGTTGCCAAATCTTACTTTAGGATCTTATGTGCCATATTTTAGGCTTGAAATTAGCTCACTTGGCTGGTGTCACATGACTAATAACAGGAGGAGGAAGTATCCAAAGTCCATTGTCTTTACATTACTACCCTGCCTAACTGGTAGCATTAAAATTTCCATAGAAATCATGTGTCAACAGCAGGGAATGGTTAGTGAGAACTTTAGAGAAGTAAGGGTCACAAAGGCTACATTAATTCAACAGTGCCCAGAGAAAGGAGGCAATGATTCAATACTTACTCTACACTACTTCTTATGACAAATCAAAATTCTCCCCAAGAGGGCTCAGAAATTGGTCAGAGGAGGTACTGGATAAGGAACATAAGCACCTCTGATCAGACCAGTCAGTAATGCAAATGGGAGAAGACAGCAAGATTTACCAGGACACATGAAGATGTTCTACCCAGGCCCTTTGGGTCCAGGACTACAGAGTCTGTTGGCTTCCTCTTCCAGACAACTGCAATGACAATGCATCTGAGGCTACCTGAATTGCTTCTCCCTGCCGTCTGCTCCAAGCCTTTCCCTCCTAGGCAGGAATCCCCTCACTAAGTCAAACCCACCTTGACCCAGGCTTGTCTTGCTACCTTTGGTTTACTTCTGCTCCCAGAGCTTTAAACTGTTTATGTTGTTATACTGTGAGGTAACAAGAGACATGGGGGAAGGAGCTTGCCTGTCTTGCTCATCCCTCTACACCTAAGCCTAATACAGTGGTAGCACATAATAGATGGGTTCTGACTGAATAGATGAAGGCTTATTTTCTAAACTCTGAAGCATTTTCCCTGTGCAGCATTTGTGGATTAATTATCAGTAAAACTTTAATATGTCACATTTGTTCATCTGTAGCAGGCTTTACTTTTTTAAAATATCTTTCAGTTAGTATTAACAAGCTGCCATCTTATACAAATAATTACCAGTTTATGCATTATAAGTACAGAGGATCATCTAACTTTTATTGACACAGGTTTAGCATAGTGGAAAAGTATCTCAGACTAGAATCAAAGTCTTTTGTTTGAGGTTCTATGCTTCTAATTTATAGCCTCAGTCTTCTCATTTGTAAGATAGTGATAAAGATACTTGCCTTACTTTCCTTGCAGGGAGATTTTAAAGAAACAATGTGGGGCTTCCCTGGTGGCACAGTGGTTGGGAGTCTGCCTGCTGATGCAGGGGACGCGGGTTCGTGCCCCAGTACGGGAGGATCCCACATGCCGTGGAGCGGCTGGGCCCGAGAGCCATGGCCGCTGAGCCTGTGCGTCCGGAGCTTGTGCTCCGCAACAGGAGAGGCCACAGCAGTGAGAGGCCCGCGTACCGCAAAAAAAAAAAAAAAAAAAAAGAAACAATGTGATACCATATGGAAATTACTTTAAGGATTAACAGACATTGTACAAATAATAATGAAATAATTATAATGATTCTCAGCTGTATTTTGGTGATAATAAATTGATACCTATATTGCATCAGGTTATTCACATTACAAATACTGAATAATAGCTTTAACTATAGACTGAAAAGGTACAGTTTCATGATATTCAACACTTACCATTACACAGATAAATTATTTCCACCTCCTAAAAGAACCCATTACTTCCTTTTTCGTACTTATGTCAGCATTATGAATTAAGGTCAGGTTCAACAAACAATGCCAGATCCCACAGATGTGGAAGAGTAAATACTTGTTATGCAACAGTTTTAATTGTTCCCCAGTTCCCAAAGCAATTTAAACTTGCAATGAGAGACCTGTGGAATGTAGAAACTTCTGGTACCTTAGGGACAGTGTCCCACAGATACAATTAAGAATGGTGATGGGAACAAATTGTGGCTGAACTGAAGCTCCAAAATGAAATGACATTCTCCTACTCATGTAACATATGAAAACAGGGGCAAATGTTCACCAAAGTAACTATGAAATGTGAGAGCTTTTTTAGTTCAAATTATGATTACCAAAATAAAGTTAATTCAAAGTCAGGAATTACTATTCAAATGATAATTACCAAAATGAAATGCTTGAATTGAAAATAATCTAGATATTACAAATGAAATAAAACAGATATTTGCTGTGAATTAAATGCATTCATTTAACATTTTTGCTTTTTTTATAGTCATCCTTTTATATGAGTTAATTTGGTTCAGGAAGGCATCACCTTTTTTTGGAATGAAGAGAGATACCAATAAGCAATAAAATAAATAAATTCACAGGACAAAAGGGAATTCACATGTTTAAGGCCACAAAAATAAAGAAGAGGAGGAGGAGGAGGGATAGAAGCGAAGGAGAGGAAGAGGGGGAGGGGAAGAAGGCGTGAATTCAGATAGGTAATAATTCATCACCGAATTAAAGTGTTCTAGGAAAGTCTATTGAGTTATATTGTCGATAGTAACACTGAACTTTGGCAAAGTTATTCTTCAGAAATGAAAAAGAAATAAAGACTTTCCCAGTCAAACAAAGCTGAAGTAGTTCACCACCACTAGACTACCTTACAAGAAATGTTGAAAGGTGTTCTTCAAGATGAAATGAAAGGATGATAATTAGTAACATGAAAACATATAAAAACAGACAACACATTGGTAAGGGAAATATATAGTCAGTCATAAAATTCTAATTCCATAATAAGATGGTATGTTAGCCATTTAACTACAGTATAAAGACTAAAGGAAAAGACCATTAAAAATAACTATAGCTACTATAATTTGTTAACGAATACACAATATAAAAATAGGTAAATTGTCATGTTAAAAACATAAAGGGGGGAATTAAAGGGTAGAGTTTTGTATGCGACTGAAGTTAATTTGCTATTAGGATAAAACAGACTGTTATATGTTTTATGTGACCTGCATGGCAACTACAAAATAAAAACCTATCATCATTCACAAAAGATAAAGAGAAGGGAATCAGAGCATATCATAGGGAAAATCAGCATCCATTTAAGTAGGCAGCAAGAGGGAAAAAAGAAGAGTGGAAATACATAACAGCCATAAAGTAATTCATAAGATGGT